CCCCGTTCATGCTCTGTCTCTCTCTGTCCCAAAAATAAATTAAAAAAAAAAAAAAAGTTGAAAAAAAAAAAAGAAATTCTGAAACAGAGCATTTAAAAATAAAAAGCAACGATTAAGTTTTGTGTAATGTGTTAAGGACCTGGTTGTACTGTGTTGTTGATGGACTGATGTAATTACTTCCTGTTCGTCTTCACTTTGGTCACTGCTATAAAATGCTTTATCTTCCTCTTCTGGGTTTGGTTTTAGTATTTTAGTCACCCCCAGTGCCACCAAAACTTAAACTGTTCTCGTTGTAAGACTATTATGTGTGTATCAGGATGCATGTCTATGTATGACCTGCAGTCTTTTCTTCTCTGAAGGACAGTATGGGGCACAGGATTATAGGTGACAAGGATGCAGACCTTGGAGCCAAATACGTAGGGTTCGTGTCCCAGTCCCTCTACTTACTGGTTCTGTAACCATGGGCAAGTTGCTAAATCTTGCTATGCCTCAGACTGCTTACCTATAAAATGGGACTTGCAATAGTACTATTTTGTAGGGTTATTGTGAAAATTTCATGACTCAACTCGTGGAAAGCACTTAGAAGAGTGTTAGCCAGAAAATAATCCGGTACAAATATTAACTTTTATTACTATTTTCATCAGATTCATATTATTAGTATATACCACGTTCTAATGTTGGTTTACTTCAGGTGCCTGCTAGCTTACAGTATCTGTATCACAGGAGCCACATCAGTTCTTTATGAATTCAGACACAAACAAATGGCAGGAGTTAGTATTGTTCACTGGTTACGAACACAGACGCCAGAGCCAGATGGCATGTGTTCAAATCCCAGCTCTGCTCTTTCCCAGAAGTGTAGCCTCGCACAAATTGCTTCATTTATCCAGGCCCCAGCTTCCTCATCCTTTATAATAAGAATATTCATAGTACCTATTCAGAAGTTTGTTGTAGAAATAAATGGTTGAATTACTATTTGTAAAGTTTTTAGAACAATAGCTAGAAAAAGCTTTCACTGAGTGAATTTTCATTCTGAAAATGAATATGTATTTTTTAAATTATGTCTTAAAATTCATCTTATACATGCCTGAGGCTAATAATTAAAATAACTTTTACATATTACATTTACTTATTGAAGAAGCACTTTGAAATAATGGGTTTAATGAGTAACTTTTACTTATTTTAATTAAAAAATATTTATTTATTTTAGAGAGAGAGGACACACATCCACAAGCGGGGGAGGGGCAGAGAGAGAGGGAGACAGAGGATCCTATGTGGGCTCTGCGCTGACAGTAGAGAGCCCAATGCGGGGCTCAGACCCACGAGGCATGAGATCCTGACCTGGGCTGAAGTCAGACACTCAACTGACTGAGCCACCCAGGCGCCCCTCAATGAGTTACTTTATGTCTTTTATTATTTTCTTTAATGTTTAGTTATTTTTGAGAGACAGAGAGAGACAGAGCACGAGTGGGGAAGGGGCAGAGAGGGAGGGAGACACAGAATCCAAAGCAGGCTCCAGCCTCTGAGCTATTGCCACAGAGCCCAACGTGGGGCTGCAAGATCATGACCTGAGACGAAGTCGACTGAGCCACCCAGGTGCCTGTCAATGAGTTACTTTTATTTTTTTTAAATTTTTTTTTCAACGTTTTTATTTATTTTTGGGACAGAGAGAGACAGAGCATGAACAGGGGAGGGGCAGAGAGAGAGGGAGACACAGAATCGGAAACAGGCTCCAGGCTCCGAGCCATCAGCCTAGAGCCCGACGCGGGGCTCGAACTCACGGACCGCGAGCTCGTGACCTGGCTGAAGTTGGACGCTTAACGGACCGCGCCACCCAGGCGCCCCAATGAGTGACTTTTAAAAGCAAGTTGTTTTTGCTATTCTTTCCAAGAAAAGAAAATCGACAATTTCATATTTTCAATAGTGGGTTTGTTGTTTATTGGTCATGTGGAAACTCTTAAATTCATTAGCTAGAATTTTTTTTTATCAAGGGAAAAAAGTTGTCATCTAGTTTTAACACTTCTGGTGTCAGAAATAATTGTGCTTTACAGCAAAATGGAAGCCAGAAGAAAGAGGTGCAGAAATATGAACTTTAATTAAACCCTTTCTTTCAAATATACTTCACAGTTTATATGCAAGAATAATTTATCACCATGTGAATGAACACTTAATACTTGGCATGGTGTAAAATGGGCAGGGATCTTGTTGCACCATATGGTCTTTTCTCTTGCTTCTTCTTAAGATTCTACGGTGGCAGTATTAAGTTTACTTGAAGTATGTGGCTCAAATCATACATTCAGCTTTTATTAATGGTTTGCTTTCGAAAGTGCAGGCACTGGACCTATAATCATGTATAAAGTATAATCCCAACCATGAAGAGGCATCCAGTTTAGTAAGGAGATGGTGTATGAATCAGAAGAAATCCCCAACAATCTCTCACTGGAGCTCCAACCATGAATCTGAAACTGGAAGCCATTTGTAGAAAATGTCACCCAACAGCTTCATTTTAGAGAGAATGTACCAATGCGGGAATGATGAGGTCCCATGACAAGCTGCTGGCAGATCCTTGACGATATATCTGGCTTCCTGACTTAAGCCCGAGGATCTTTGTATTGCTTCACATTGACTCATTTTGTGATCTAACTGCTCCTGGGTCCCTATCTGTGCTTTTTCCACACAGTCAGTTTGGATTGCAAGAAACAGCATTTGATGTATTATTAATATGCCCAAGTCTGAGGATGAAGCTGTTAAATGATGACACTGCCTTTTCAGTCTTTCTCTCTCTTCCACACAGCCTTTTGCATACCCTGAAATGTCTGTCTACAACAAATATTGGACTCCATATTCCTTGAAAAGAGACTAACAGAATACATCATACCGTGTACTGGGGGCAGTGACGGACTTCTGAAAACCTAGATATGTTTTCCCATATTACAAAGGAGGCAGAGAAGCTTGGGTTGGTAAAGTCAAAGACCACCATAAGGGACAATGTTCTGCTCCAACAAATTAGAATTCCACCAATTCCTTTGTTTTCTAGACTACTAAGACCAGACGGATACCATGTGGTATCCCCCATGTAACTCTTATTCCTCAATTTGTCTCTTAGAGAAAGCACCTCACCATCCTTTTCTGGGCATCTCAATCTGTAAGGCAAGAACACCTCCTTATACTGAGTAAGACCTGTGGGCTTGGATTGTGGCACTCTAGGAGGAGAGGAAGAGACCCGGTGTGTGCCCTGCTCTGTATGCAGCCCCGTATGTGTGCAGCAATTCTTGTCATCAACATTGTCGAGACAAGACCACTCCAGAGCCTCAGAGTGCCTGAATGAAATGCCCAAGGCCTTCTATATTATAAGATATAGAAGTGGTATTCCAATCCAGGTCTATCTGATCTTCAAATCTAGGTACATTCCACTATGCCAAGATTCAGGATGCTTCCTTTCTGTTCTCTTCCCTTCCCCCCTCCCCACTACTACCACTACATTCATACTGGATAGCTAAGAATTAAATGATTTTTTTTCGACACTGCTCAACAAGCTCACCAGTGTCATTTAGACCCACCAGTGCTGAAATGAAGTGTCATCCTCAGTATCAGTGTGTTACCCTCCGTGTCCAACAATCTTTAGTGATTCACCTCCTTCAGTGGTGGGTGTGGTAATGGGGATTGATTGCCTGGTTCTGGGAGCTAGGGTTTCAGCTGGAGTGTGGGTGGTGTACCAAAGGGAGAGGTTGATTGTCCAGAAGAAAATGCAGGGCGCTAGGGAGGGGAACAAGCAAGGGGAGTTGCATAGGGAATAATTAACTTTCCAGCACCAGCAAGACTAAGTCTACTGAAGCAGTCCAGGAACCCGAGGCAGGAATTAAGGACCAGAGTCACTATAGGTCAGAAACCCACAAGAGGGATGGAAGGCTCATCTTTCTACTCATGAGTAGCTGAGCCATTGCTGAGTGCCAGGAACAAGACCTTTGGATCAGTCAGTGGGGTATGCTCTTGCATTTTGCATCTCCTGGTTGGAAAAAGCTTGTAAAGTATCCTTTTTAAGACTGCCAGGTTAAGGACCTTCAGCTTCTTGGGTAGACCTTTGATCAAACAAAAGCAAATCTTGTTCATTAAATTGACTCTGTAGCATTCACCGATCCACCAATGAGAACTTGATTGATTATTTAATTGGCAAGTGTTTCAGTGACCATGAGTGGTTTCTCGGCATCTGCCCCAACCTCCTTTCTCTGGCAGGTTCCATTGCTGCCTTTCTCCTTCCTTACACCACACAGTCATGCTGACCAGCGTTGGGACATGCTGTGCTTATGAAGAGCTCTGGGCTTTGGGTCACACTGTTTCTCCTGCATGGCCAACCCATCCACTCCGTTCTGATCACAGTAACTCACTTGAGGGTGGAGCACAGCCAGCCTGCACTCCAGGAGTCTCCCACAACTGCCTCTACTCTCTGCCGTCTCCACCCTCAATCCCCATGGATTAGATGTTCCTCTCCTGGACTCCCATAATGCCCCAAGTTTCCCCATTATGAAAACATACCCTAGCGTAACTGTGATCAATAATAATAATAAATAAATATGGAATGCTTGCTTTGTACCAGACATCGTGCTAAGGGATTTAGAGGCACTAGTCATTTAATCCCCGTGTCAACCTTGCAGTGAGTACGATTAGCATCCCCATTTCATAAATGAGCAAGCAGAGCTCAAAGAGCTGGGGTTTACCCCAAACCTGGAGCTGGTTTGTAGGTGGCAAAACTGCCACTGAGACCCTGGCAGCTGGATTCCACAGCACACGTGTTCATCCTCATAAAGACCTTGAGGGATTTCCTTGTGTGTTTATCCCACCCGCCATGTGACAAGCTGCAAGAGAGAGCAGGGACTGTTTCTTACTCAGCCTGCCCCCTCACTACCCAGAAGGAAGCGCTCCTGTGGTCCAGCGTTTATGGGATGGGATTGAAATGAATTGGGGATGGAGCCCGCAGCTAATCTGACCTTTCTCTCTGCCCGCAGAAGCTGACTGGGGAAGTGGGCAGCCCTGACCGTGATGTGCTCAGCCAGCAGAGACATTCCATTCCGAGAGAGGTCTGCCTGACACGTCTGGGAGGCCACCATCCGCCAGGCCGCCACAGGGTTGGTGAAAGGGGTGACAGCCGCATTCTCCTGTGCCTACCACATAACCAAAAATGAAGGAGCACTACTGTTTACAAGCCGCCCTGGTGTGCCTGGGCGTGCTGTGCCACAGCCAGGCCTTCACCACCGAGCGACGGAGCCACTTGCGACCCTCGTTCCACGGGCACCACGAGAAGGGCAAGGAGGGGCAGGTGCTGCAGCGCTCCAAGAGAGGCTGGGTCTGGAACCAGTTCTTCGTGATCGAGGAGTACACCGGGCCTGACCCCGTGCTCGTGGGCAGGGTAAGGCTGCTGCTAGGCAGCGTTTGTCTCTCTCGCCACAGTTCCAATAGTAGGGTATGGCCAAAAAAGAAAATTTCTAGGTGGGAAAACACTAATGGCGCTTCAGTAAAAACCATAAAATCAATGTTTAAACAGCCTTTCAGGGGCACCTGGTGGCTCAGTCGGTTAAGCATCTGACTTCAGCTCAGGTCATGATCTCCTGGTTCACGAGTTTGAGCCCCACATCGGGCTATGTGCTGACAGCTCAGAGCCTGAAGCCTGCCTCTTGGGGAGCCTGGGTGGCTCGGTCGGTTGGACATCCGACTTCAGCTCAGGTCATGATCTCACTGTTTCTGGATTCAAGCCCCACGTCGGGCTCTGTGATGACAGCTCGGAGCCTGGAGCCTGCTTTGGATTCTGTGTCTTCCTCTCTCTCTGTCCCTCCCTTGCTCATGCTCTGTCCTCTCTCTCTCAAAACTAAACATTAAAAAAAAAATAAACAGCCTTTCAGACTTTTTAATTTTTCAATTCATAGTCATCCATGTTAAGAACACTTACATTTTCCACTGAATATTATACCATGGAACTCCATTTTTAATAGCTGCACAATAGTCTACTAATTAGCCATCATTTATTGGCCCATTCTCCAAAGAAAGACATGTTCCTGCCTACACCCTATCTCCAACTCTGGTGCCCTTCTCCACTCTTTATGAAAGCTTGCCTTTTTGCATTACACATGTTTATTTATTCATCAGTCTCCCTCACTGGACTGGCCCAATGTCCTGTGTCCCGAGATCCTGGTAGTAAGCCTAGTTTTGGGGAAGCCTTTGTAAATATCTGATGAGACAAATGGATGTGTCTTCAGAATGGATGAGATTTTATCCACTTCAGCTTAGGGATGGCAAAACCCGGTTGGATGAATTGAGTTCTAGCAGTACTCAGACTCTGCATTCTCTGTGTAACCCTTCCAAAAAAGTGCAAGAGTAGAAAGTCCACAATACATTAAAAAAATTATTGTCCATTATCATTTATGATAAAGCATGCAACCATCTTTCAGAGAAGAGAGTGACATTAACTACAAGGAGATGAGTGGTCATCTACACAAGAATGAACACCTACTATGCTCAGGGAAAGAGCTAAGCAAACGGTAGACTAGCATAAAATAGTCCCTGACCTCAAAGGGTTCAGAGGCTAGTAGAAAGGCAAACTTATCTAACGAAAAACAAAAACAAACAAACAAACAAAAAAACCCACCTAAAACTAAAATAATGAAGAAATTCAACAGAAGTGATGATACTTTTACCTGGTAATGTTTGGGAGGGATGAAGGAAGGTTTTATAAAGAACATGATAATAACTTGTAACCTGAGAGATGAATGAGTAGGAGTTATCCAGTGAAGGGGGAAAAGTACAAGAGTAGATCTGGAGGGTGCTAATTTCCGAGTCTTGTATATTCCATTGAGTTATTTCAGTTGTTCTTTAACATGAGAGCAGTAATCCATATTTATGTAATTGACTTATTTGGAAGAGGTTCATAGTAGCATCTGAGTAATGTTCAGGGTTGGGGAAGTGCCTTTTCAAAGAGATGTACCAAAGGAGTTTCATTCATGTATACCCCAAAATGGAAAGATTATACCCAAAATAGAAGTAGTCTTGGGAAATGGGAACCCGGGGAAATGATTGGCATGTGAATTCCCTACGTGAGGAGATGGGCTCTGTGCCCAGAGAGGAAGACAAGACTTCAGTCATGGCAGGGGCTGTGCAGCTTGAACACCATGGAGAGCTGTGTGTAAATTTTTCTGAGAATATAGAACCTTTGCCTTAAGGACTTTCTCAGTGGAGAATGGTGTGTTCGTTAGGGTGGAAGATTGTAGGAGAGACAGGACCTGGAGAGCCATTTCCTTATCTCTGTGGAACAAGCAGTTGGCAAGCCCACTAAAAGGGATCATAGGACAAAACATGGAGAAGAGGAAGCAGTGAATGGGCTTTGAAATCCTGGTACCTGAGATTGAGTGTGAGATGTCCGATTGGAGAGGGGAAGAAGAAAAAAAAAGGGGGGCTGGATCCTATGGATCTTCCTTTTGAGATAATGTGGAGATATATATATATATATATATATATATATATATATATATATATATACAAATATATATATATAACTATATATATATAACTATAGATAGATATAGATATAGATGATATAGATTAGATAAAGATATAGATGATATAGATATAGATATTGATATCTATATATATAGTTCCCCATGAATAGAGGGAATAGACTAGATGACCTTTGATTTGACAGCATTCAAGGTTGAGTGCTTTATGATGCTCTGAAAAAGTAGAATTTGGCAAGCGATGGACTTTCAGATTTCTTACAGGAAGCACAGTCTGTGTCGTGCTGTGCCCTGCAGAGGGGGAAGCCAGCAGTCTTTGGCATTAGGAATTGGCTGTGTATGCCTCAGCAACTGGGTCCCCTGATAGGAAGGAATGGTTTCCCAAACTGCTTTTTGTGTAGAACCTAATAAATAGTGTTGTCAGTTGTACAGGTCATCTTTGTGGGAGAGAGAAAAAGAAGGAATTTATATCTAACTTTCAAATCCGAAAACAAAGTAGAGAAAGATAAGGAGTGCTGTAAGTTTACACTTTTGCAGTGATTTGGTTGATCATGAACTAGAATCTGTTTAATTCATAAGAAACTTGCCAAGCTCACGTGGAATTCATGAAAGCCCAGAGAAACTTCCCTTCTAGCCACTCCCATTAAAATAAGCATTTATTTCCTTGTTTTTCATTCACAAGACTGAGCCCCTAACTTTTGCCAGGTCTCAGGCAGAGAAAAGGAACAAATGCAAACTGTTTGGGGGGTTGGGGAGAAAGCCAGCCGCATGGCGGCAGGGATCCCGCCCTCACTGTGGAAATTGTATGAAGATCAGAGCAATTCTGTTCATCCTTTAGAAGCCACAAAATAGCTTCATATTTTACTCACAAACTGCCTTATTCATGAGAAATGTATTAACCATCATTTCATGACAACACGTAGCTTGTTATGAATAACAAGTTCTGAAGACAGGTATATTTTTTCAAATTTTCCTGAGAAACACTGTGAACTAAAATCAAAATGGTCTTCCTGATTTGTACCTACAGGTACCCCCTGAGCCGAAATATTTGGTGTTTCACTGAGGTGCTGCAAATCAATTAGATACTTTCTGGGAAACTGAAACCAATACAAACATCTTTAAAGCACTGTGTTCTATCTTGCTTTGTGATTCTGAACAAGTTCCCCAGGCTTTGGTTTCCTAACAATAATCAAATTGGTGTTAACAATAATATTTAAATGACATTACTAATAATATCAGTATGAAAATGTCATTGCTAATCAATCAATATTATTATCAATGCCATTTGAATAAAGCTTTTTGGTGTATACTGGGTTTTCTCACATAGTAGGCAGAACCAAGGGCTTTTTAGCCACTTGGCTAGCCTTGAAGCCTACAAGAATGGCAAAAGCAATGCTTCTCTCTTCTCACAAAGGGCATAATGAGGGCAGAGGTACTTAAATTATGATGAAAGCTTCAGACATTGAGATGACATCAAGGGAAGGTAAGGAATTCATTGCTACAGGAAAATCAGACGTGGTCTTTGGGTGAGTCCCATGTTATGAAACACAGGGCAGAGTCCAGGCACAGGATGGGTAGTCAGGGGAACTGGACGATGCCCTGGCCCTGTGAAGTGTGGGGTTAGGCAAGTACTGTCATTTCTCTGGGCTCTGTCAAAGGAGGGGGAACACCTGAACATATGTAAGGTTCTCTCAATAGTCTAAGAAGCTTCATATTTATCAACCCGTCCTACTCACCTTATGCCTATGATCAGAATGAGAGCTTCTTCCTGACAGGCCACATCGCCAGACCCTCATGTCCCTCACAGAGTGTCTTATGGAAAGGTCTGATCGATGAATTGCTTATCGTAACGAAAGCCTAGAAACAACCTCAGTGTCCTTTGGAAGAAGACAGCTAACATGAGATGATAGCATGCATCCAGTGGATGTAGCAGTCCGAAAGGTCACCTGAATTTACTGTTATAGGAAAACAGAGGTGCAGAGTGCTATTTGTGCACTATGGCACTTTATTGCATAAAAACAAGTGAGGGCATTTATGTATCTGTACAGATATTCTAGCATATGCATAAACCGTATCTTAGATTCACAGGAAACTGGTAACAACTGTTGTGTCTGAGCAGAGAAACTGAAGGGGTGGGAATCAGAACTGAGAAGACTTACTTATGGCATAAATGTTTGTTTTTTATATTTTTATGTCATCTATGTTTCTTTCAAAATAACTTAATATATGTGCATATGTGTGTATATTTTGCTTGTGTGCATACCCGTGTGAATATGTACGTATATTTTGTATGTGTGTATATTTGTGAGGGAAAGTATGACTCATAGAATTTAAAAAACTCAGGATTCAGGTCTGAATGCTGGCTTCACCTCCCCCAGCGGTGTGACTTTGGCCAAGGCAATTGTCTTCTCTAAGATTCCATTTCTTCATTTGTAAAATGGGGGCAGAGCATCTCCCTCTCAATGGTGTATGTGTGTGTGTGGGCGTCTGTGTGGGTGTGGGTGGACAGCGTGCTGTGGCAAACGGTGTATGAATGAGACTCTGTTTCCCCACGGCATCCCTCATGGAATTACAAATCTTGGTTTCTCTTTTCCTAGCTTCATTCCGATATTGACTCTGGTGATGGGAACATTAAATACATTCTCTCAGGTGAAGGAGCCGGAACCATTTTTGTGATTGATGACAAATCAGGGAACATTCATGCCACCAAGACATTGGACCGGGAAGAGAGAGCCCAGTACACGCTCATGGCACAGGCGGTGGACAGGGACACCAACCGGCCGCTGGAGCCACCGTCGGAGTTCATCGTCAAGGTCCAGGACATTAATGACAACCCGCCCGAGTTCCTGCATGAGACCTATCATGCCAACGTGCCTGAGAGGTCCAACGTGGGTGTGTACACGAGGGGAGACCTGCTCCATCTACGGGCCTCGTGTCCCTGTTGGGGGTGGGGTGGGGGGCTGCTGCCCATATTCTCCCAAATCAAGGAGCAGAATTTATACCACATCTTCAACGGCATACGACCAAAAAAAGTGTCATTTGTGTAGTTGAAGTTTCAAATATTTAAAATAGATCTGAGAATTTAATATCTAGTCTTCGAAAACACAAGAAGCGTGGCAGAATGGCAAGAACCTGACGGGCGGCAGGCAATCCTGGTTCTGGCGCTCATTAGCTATGCAACTTGGATCCAGCTCTGTCCATTTTCGCCTTAGTGTCCCCTTCTGTAAAATGGAGTCATAGTTTCTAGTCTTGCAGGATTAGAGGCAATGCAGTTCAGTCACTAGTGTGCGCTGATGTCTAATGAGGAACAGTAATCGTAATATTTGTTGCATGTAGACATCATACTAATTGACTTACATGACATTATTGCATTTATTTTTTTGTGATAATCCATTTTTGTAGTGAGGTAGGTCCTATTTGACATACTTTGCAGATGGAAAGCCCAAGCCAGGAACAGGATGACTAATTTATCGAAAGTCATCTGAGCTATTAAGTGGCTCCAGAATACACACTTAATCAGGACACTATGCCACCATCTGTTAGGATAACTTAGAAGCGGATATGTCCTTCCATCATGCCTGAAGACACTCTCCATTGTCAAAGGATACTTCTCTCAAGGATTTCTTCAACAAGCCACCTTTTCCTGGCAACAACTTTTGTCTGGCTTTATAGAATGCATTCATTTGTGGTCTTTTGAGAAATATGCCTCATATTAAGAAGGGGTTGTCTTTCAGACAGTGATCATGGCTGTTCTGGTCAGGGAATGAGTCTGATTATATGAATCAGAGATTTTAGAGCGCAAATGAACTTAAGAATCATCAGGGCCAAACTGCCCATTTTACAGATGAGAAAACCAAGCACCAAGAATGGGAAACAACCTGTTCAAAACAGTTAGATGCAGAAAGTACCCTAGGGCCCTAAGCTCTTTCCACTTTGCATGTAGAACCTGGGATGTGGATTTTTTTAAGCACCCCCCCCTTTTTTTCCCTCCTCCAGATAAAGTTGGGCTTTTCTCATACTTTATGAAGGTGGGGCTGAGTCACTTCTTGCCTGTCTCCCCTGGCCGTGACCGGTCCCTTAGTTTCTTGGTAATTGCCTAGGGATTTTAATGAGAAAAATCCAACAGAAACTAAATCATTAAATAGGGGACTGTAGCATGAGCAACTGAGCCAGAAGGCAAAGCCTGCCATCAAAAAGAACACTCCAGAGAATTCACATTGTTCTCACCTCTGGGAGCTCCTTGATGCTTGGGACTAACACCCAGGCTTTCCATCACGGCTTCTGAGAGTCGAACCTGGTGTCACAGTACCGGGCTGCTGTTTATGGCAGTGGCCCTGACGAGCCAGATGGCGGTGGCCCTGACGAGCCAGGTGAACTGTCACATAGTTCTCATTTTGTCATCTGTAAAGTGAGGATAATGTAAACTGTGACGAGGGTTAAGTAAAATACAAAAGAGTCATAACGGACTGAGTGCAGTTCTAGAAACAAATGAAGCACAACAATGTAATACTTTCCCTAGCTCAGTCACAATGATGCAGGCTAGGCCTATTCTCCTTCATAAATGTCCACTGCCTAGAATAGTGCCTGGTCCTATGGGAAGAGCTTGAGAAAAGTTGTTTGCACGAAATAATGAGTTACAGAAATGTAATGAGAAAAAAAAGCAAGATTTCCTTTTATACCATGTAAAAATCACTGACAGTTGTAAATTAAAGGGTCGTCAGAAGCTGTGTCAACGGGCTCCCTCACCTCCCACCCAGGACCTTGCCCCTCTGCTGGAAATGTCAAGGAAAGACCCTGGGTTTGGTTGGTTGCTCGATGGGGGTTAGGCTAATGACTCTGGCAATAATCGACTTTGCAAAATAGGATTGTAAAATTCCTACCTCTCACACCCAGTTTCTCAAAATACAATTGCTGTCAAAATGAGGAGCAGAGGGGATGGATGCTGGTGGAACACAAGGAACGTGCCCCGAAAGTACCTGGTGCAGGGAGGCTCTAATTGCCGTTTCCCTTCCCAGGCATCTCCCCCCATTCTTTAGTTCAGTGCTTTGTGCCCTGAAATCCTGGTGACCACCAAAGAACAGAGGCTTTTCTAGGAGAAACGGAATCCTGTCTTCCTTCATTTCCCTGGTTTCCTTTCCTTCAGACCCACAGATGTCTTAAGGGTGGTTTCTATTAAATAACTACCAGACCCGTTAGAGGTGGGAAGATGCAATTCTCATGTCATCAGGGAACAACATTCTGTACAATATTTACAGCCATAAATTCATTAAAATGCAGTATTAGAAGCTATTTTATTACATGCAAAGCAACAATAAAATGACGTATTTATTGCGCTGCTACAGATGGAAGGCTACATACTCTGTCCTTACACAAAAAGCAATTCATCACTAATTATCTTTTATTTTACTCTTTGGGAAGATTGTTATTTAATTATTGGATATACTGAACATTTCAGTTGCATGGGTCTTAGAATGTTTTTGCATTAATATTCATATTGTTATTTTAACTACTAAGCAGAGCACGATGTACTATGAATATAGAAAGTTCATTTTTAAGCTATGGGAATTTTTTTTTAAGGAAGGAAAGAGGGAAGGAAGAAGAGGAACAGAGGAAGGAAGATTACTTTACATCTGAACCCCTGAAAACTGAGAGCATGTTAAACAATTATGGGGCTTTTCTCCGTTTTTAAAGTTAAGATGGAACTTTGTAAACTGGAATATAATTCAAAAAGCTGAAGGGGTGTTGCTAATGGATTTATTTCATTTTTAAGGGACATCGGTAATCCAGGTGACAGCTTCAGATGCAGATGATCCCACCTATGGAAACAGCGCGAAGTTAGTATACAGCATCCTAGAAGGACAACCCTACTTTTCAGTAGAAGCACAGACAGGTACTGTGCAGTGTTGTTGGGATCTGTGACACATTGTGAATAAGAAGTCCAGGCCTGCTCAGTAAACCTATTTGAGTCTTAGTTTTCCCAAATACAGGAAAAAAAAAAAAGGCCACCTTACAGGATTATTGAGAGGATTAGACACTGTGCCTGCATGTGCCTGGATATGGTTAGCATCCAATGAACCTTATTTATTATTGTTTCTGCCTCTATGTCACCATGTCACAATAATAAATATAATCTTAAAATACAACTTTTATCTTAAAATCATATCTTACATTTTTTGTGTTGTTAATGTTTGTTTATTTTTGAGAGAAAGAAAGAGCGTGAGCGGGGGTGGGTGGGGGCAGAGAGAGAGGGAGACACAGAATCAAAAGCAGGCTCCAGGCTCTGAGCTGTCAGCACAGAGCCCTATGCGGGGCCTGAACCCACAAACTGCAAGATCATGACCTGAGCTGAAGCCAGATGGTTAACCAACTGAGACACCCAGGCAGGCCATCAAGATAAATTCTTGAGAAACATGCATTTAAGTTGAACATGTAACTTAAGTTGAATTTTAATATATGATTTTAAGGGGCATATGGGTGGCTCAGTCAGTTAAGCGTCTGACTTTGGCTCAGGTCATGATCTCACAGCTCCTGAGTTCGAGCCCCACGTCAAGCTCTGTGCCAACAGCTCGGAGCCTGGATGGAGCCTGCTTTGGATTGTGTGTCTCCCTCCCTCTCTGCCCCACCCCTGCTCACACTCTCTCCCTGTCTCTCAAAAAATAAATAAATGTTAAAAAAAAAATAATGCTCAGGTGTGTTTGGGACGTGGCACATTCCCTCCACTGCACTTACAGATTCCCAATTGGTGTCACCCAAAAAGAAGACTTCACAGTTCTTACAGAAAACAAACAGCAAACCCAAAAAGTGAAAACATGTAGCCACCAAAACCACAATGGTCCACTTCATTTACACCAAACTTTATTCTAGGGTCCTTCCATTAGAATAAACACTGAAATACTGTGAAAGTTCCATTCTATAATATCACCTTCCAAACGGCTGCCTTTTCCTGTATATTTGAAAGACATTTGCAAATAATCCACATCTGTTATTATAGCTAAATTGTATGAAATACAGACATATATTAATATGTGTACACAGGGTCTGCCAATCAGATAAGTTGACCATTTACTAGATATCACTTCCACTGACCTACGTAATTATCTATTTGTAGCCACTTTGCTTCAGAACATAGTCTATGGGGCTGTGTGGCTATGATTTCATAGAAGGCATTTGCCTTTCCACATTAACCAAGGATAAATGTGGGATTTCATCTAGATTTTTGAGATGTTAAAACCTGATGGAGGAACTCCAATTACAACCTTATTTCTTCTCAAGGACTCATGGTTAGGAACCACCACTTTGAACATACCAAAGTATTTAACAGATAAGGAAAACAAGACTCAGTGAGTTCAAGGGTGCTGTTGGGAAATACAGACTAAGAGAGGGACAAGGGTGCTTTCTTTATATTTCCAGTATAAATGTTACTATATCTACAGAGAGGAAAAGCTTGCACATGTTCCCAAGAGATTTAAGCGAGCATGGTTTTCATACAAATTATGTGCTAATCTCCAGGGATCATGTAGAATTCAATCATTAATTTACCCCTGTGGTCAGTGACGGGTGATAGTACAACAATGTTTGTGTATGCATTGTGTGTGTTTTTAACTTGTTTGGCTTACTCCTTTAAAATTTAATAATTACATTTTAATGTATTGCTTGGAATATATGCCACCTACATTTAACCTAATATAGATCATAAAAACATTTCCAAGAGTTGAATGCTGGGATAGACGTTCAAAAGATTCCACTGGTAATTCAAAAGTTGGGGTTTAGTCATGGGTATCCATGCAATGGGCCCTCAAATATTTCAGCCTTTAGGATCTTGATATGTTATGCCTGAGAATAATGAGCTTATTACTTGTGTTTACAATGCAACATATAAAGCATATATGATTATGATGCTATACGAATAATTATGACAATTTGCTGAGAAAGACCACTATATGGTGCTCCAGGTATGGCTACTTGTCATTCTAATTATCATGTCAAAGTGACTCTTCTGCGAGGGCAGGAGCTTTTTTATTCCTCTCTGCTTCCCCTGTGCCTAGAACTTTTTATGTTTTAATGTTGTTACCAATGAATACGTGTGGTGTTTCCCACTCATGGATCCAGGTATCATCAGAACAGCCCTCCCCAACATGGACAGGGAAGCGAAGGAGGAGTACCACGTGGTGATCCAGGCCAAGGACATGGGTGGACACATGGGTGGACTCTCAGGGACAACCAAAGTGACGATCACACTGACTGATGTCAATGACAACCCACCAAAGTTTCCACAGAGTAAGTAGGTGGGCTTGGCTTTCACGTTTTAATGGTGCCATGGCTAGCCCTTCTCCGACCCATTTCTGCTTTGCTCAGCTTTCACGAAGAAACCTAGAAGAATGAAGTCTCTTTATCATTCATGCAAAAAATGAAAACATAAAGACTACAACAGCAACATAAAAATTGAAGGTGCAGTAAAGGTAGGAGGCGGGAAAGGAGATGTAAAAAGTTCCACAACTCTGGAAACAGAAAATCTATTTTGCTAGGTATTTCACTAGATACTGGTTCTGCGATCTAGTAATTAATTAACCTCTCTCTGTGTCAGTGTTCTAATTTCTAATCTGGATGTAATAGTACTGAATAAGTTACCTGTTGTTTTAAAATAGAGTGCCCCAAACCTCTGTGATTTAAAACAATAATAATAATTTATTTTTTTCATGAATCAGTCATTTGGCCAAAACTTGGAGGAGACTGCTTTTTCTTTGTTTCCATAGCTTCAAGTTAGGATGGCTTGACTGAGGTCAGAAGATCCACTTCCAAGAATGTTCACTCAAATGTCTGATGAGCTTGTGTTGGCTGTTGGTTTTTATCCATGTGGGTCTTGCCAAGGAATCGCTTGGATAGGTTCTGAAAGTGGGAGCCCCAGGGATACCAAGCAGAAACTGTATTGTCTATTGTGACCTAACTTCAAAAATCACATGGCATCATTTCCATAAGACTGTCCAAATTTAAGTAGAGTTCTTGTAGACCCCATCTTTCAATGGAAAGACTTCAAAGTCATGTTGAAGGAAATGCATGTGGGATGGGAGATATGGCTTGGGCCACTTTTGGAGAATACAGTCTTCTACAGGTCTTATTGGAATGTTGTTATAACTAAATCAGCTAGTATAAAATCTTATAATGCCTGGCATAATTTGTCACAAATGTTAGCCATTATTATTATATGAGGGATTGTGGTCCTTCTACAAAATTCGTAAGGTTACTGAAGGAAATAAAAGAAGATGATTTTGAAAGGTTATTAATCATCATAATTACAACAACTTCCATCATTTAATGAATAGTAATTACTACTGGATATCTTGACAAGAGCCTACATTTTAGATAAAACTAGGTTTCATAAAAGGTGCAGTTAGTGCGCATAGAATGTAGTAAAGCCACCCCCCAAAATAATAATCCAGTTAAAAATGGGCAGAAGCTGGGGTGCCTGGGTGGTACATTCAGTTAAGCTTCTGACTGGATTTCAGCTCAGGTCATGATCTCATGGTTTGTGAGATCTAGCCCCGAGTTGGGCTCTGTGCTGATACCACAGAGACTGCTTGGGATTCTCTCTCTCCCTCACTCTCTGCCCCTTCCTGACTCTCTCTCTCTCTCTCTCTCTCTCTCTTTCAAAACAAATAAATAAACTTTAAAAAAGTGGGCAGAAGACAGGAAAAGACATTTCTCCAAAGAAGACCTACAGATGAAAATTGCTCAATATCATTTATCATTAAGGAAATGCACATTAAAACTATAATGAGTTATCACTTGATACTGGCCATAATAGGAAAAGTAACAAATACAAGAAAGAAAAAGTGTTGGTGAGGATGTGGAGGAAAAGGAACCCTCATGCACTGTTTTGATAGGAATGCAAACTGGTGAAGTTAACTGGAAAAGAGTATGGAGGTTCCTCAAAAAGTTAAAAATAGAACTATCCTACAATCCAGTAATCACACTCCTGGGTAGTTACCCCCAAAATACAAAACACTAATTCAAAGGGATAAATACACCCCTATGTTTATAGGAGTATTATTTATAAGAGCCAAATTATGGAAGCAGCCCAAGTGTCCATGGATTGATGAATGGATAAAGGAAATGTGGTATGTATGTATATGTGTATATATATATATATATATATATATATATATACAAGGCAATATTATTCAGCCATAAAAAAAGAATGAAAAAGGGGCACACCTGGGTGGCTCAGTCAGTTAAGCCTTCGATGTCAGCTCAGGTCATGATCTCGTGGCCCCATATCAGGCTCTGTGCTGACAGCTCAGAGCCTGGAGCCTGCTTCGGATTCTGTGATTTCCTCTCTCTTTGCCTCTACCCTGCTCATGTTCTGTCTCTCTCTCTCAAAAAATAAATAAACATTAAAAATTAAAAAAAAAAGAATGAAACCTTGCCATTTGCAATGACATGGATGGAGCAAGAGAGTATAATGCTACGCAATATAGCATATTGGAGTTCAGATAAGTCAGTCAGAGAAAGACGAAGGGGAAAAAAGAGAGAGAGAGACAAACCAAGAAACAGACTCTTAACTATAGAGAACAAACTGATGGTTATCGGGCGGGGTGGGGGGGGTAGATGGGAGATGGAGATTAAGGTGATGCAGATTAAGGAGTGCACTTGTGATGAGCACTGGGTGATATATGGAATTGTTGAATCACTATATTGTACATGTGAAACTAACACTGTATGTTAACTATACTGGAATTAAAATTAAAAAATAAATAAATAAATAAGAATGTAGCAAAGCCAGAGCTTGAACACACATCTGTTTACATAGATACATAGATATAGACAAAGGTATGTGTGATCATAAAGATGCTGGTGCCACTAATCCATGGGTGTGTGGGGGGATGTTTTACCACGAAAATGTCATCTTCACTAGATTAGGAGAGTAGCTGGTGGAACCTGGGAGTTTTTTGTCAGAGGGATGGCAATTTTTGCAAATGAGGGAACAAGGAAGGCACACAAACATGGCCCCAGGAAGGCACACCAGTCATTCAGAGGAATCCAAAGACAGCAATCTATGCAAGGAACACACTGAGATAGGATTACAAGGCAGTAACCAGTTCTCATGGAGTCCCAAAAGAGGTGAAGAAAGACTGCTTTGCCTGATCAGGCACAAAGTTCAGCATCTCCAATAAGCTTAAGGCTCATATAGCATTCTAAGAAACTACATGCTCCGTTATCCACACTGCAGAATTGTTCGGTATGCTAGAAGGAAAAGGCCGAACAGGATTATTAGCATGCAGCCATTAATGCCTTTGCTCACATGCAGTCATATAGTAAAGTTATATTGCTATACTGCAGATGCTAGTTTCACTGCCATGAACTCCAATGAGATTTGGAGAAAACCAACTCAGAGCAGGTTTCCCTAAGCCTGCCTGTAAATTGGTAATTATTTACAGAGCTTATCTACAGAGACTACACCACCCAGTTGTCCTTGACTGTGCAGGTTCTGGAGTGATAAAGTTGAATATGGGTCCAACCTGAAAACATTCAAAGCCACATAATACAGATAAACATAGACAGCATACTGGAACTGATGGAATCCATAGAAAGGGGAAGCTAAAACTTACAAGAGGTTAAGTAACTTGCCCCAAACCACTCAGCTTTGAAGTGGAAGAGACAAAGTTCCCAGCCCTTGTTTCTCCATATTGTTTCCCGTAGAATATTTTTAAAATGTGGAAATACAGATAAGATCATTTCAAATCTGGCTTCCCTACTGAAAAGCTTCCAGTGGCTTCCTTCAAGTTCAAATAGAACCATTCCACAATGGCCTTTTTACATAGATGGGCCCCAGCCTACCTATGTACCCTCACCTCTTCCCGAAGGCTCCAGCCACACTTGTCTTCTGGCTTCTGTATGTCTTCAACATGTACCTACTCCAGGGTTTTTGCCATTTCGTCTTTGCTTTGTCTGTAATTTTTATCCCCAGAGATTCATGTGATTGATTGTTCAGTCCGTTCTGATGCCTTCTTCTGAGGGATGTCTTCTCTGACCAACCAATTCCAAATCATTCTCAGTTCTCCCTCTTTCTTGTTCTCACACAGCACATGTAACACAAGTGTATACATTCACACACACACACGACATATTCATATAGACACTCTCACTCATCCATGCATATGTGTACCACACAACCACATACCCACTCCCAGACACACATTCACACATGAGTGATGGTGTGATCCCCTTCACACTCCATCACACACTCATACACACAGTCACACATACTCACTGTCTCATTACCCTCTACCACTTATCCTACTTTATTTTCCTTCTTTCTAGCAATGACATCACAGTATATCATTTGCTTTCTTGTTCCTCTTCAGTGTGCCTCATTAAGGGAAGAAACTTGACGAGTCCATTTACTACTGAGTCTCCAGGGCCTAGAGCAGCACCTGGCATATATTAGGTTCTGAGTACATATAAAATAAATATATATGAACAGACCATACTGTGAGAAACCTTTCCAGATAAGGTAGTGCTTGATCAAATGGTGAAGGAGGCAAAGAAAGAGGAGAGTCACATATAGAGTTAGTAGGCTCATGACCTTGATAAGGATTAAATTTGCATTTGATTTTTTAAAAAAAATATGGAGCCGTGGGAGGTTCTCAAACAGAGAAGGAGGTTTTTCTGGGTACCTGGCAGTGCCTTGGAATTAATTCGTGAACCATCCTGAAGACACGAAAAGAAGACTTTGCTCTTTGAATGTATAAAGATATATACATGGTCCTCCATCACTTCTTGATGGGAAATGTAACTGAGCATTGTTTTCCTTTCTTACTTGTGGCAGGTGACCCCACCACATGACCCTGGACCCCGATACTCTTTTATCACCCTTTGTAGAACACATTTCTTTGACAAGCAGGCCATGTGGGATCTTCTTTCTCAGCCATTCACTTCTTTCATGTTTTCAATCAATAGAAAGTTCAATTTCAAACCCTTTGAGAAATTTATTGGGATTCCATGAAATCTAAAGTCTTACAGCTGCCAAATAAAAGGGAAAATAAAAATAGATGTCTTCTTCTTCTAGGCGTATACCAGATGTCTGTGTCAGAAGCAGCTGTCCCCGGGGAGGAAGTAGGAAGAGTAAAGGCAAAAGACCCAGACATTGGAGAAAATGGTTTAGTCACCTACAATATTGTTGATGGAGACGGTATGGAATTGTTTGAAATCACCACGGACTATGAGACACAGGAGGGTGTGGTCAAACTGAAAAAGGTGAGTTTGGGTGAGGAATCAGGGGTGTTAGCGGTGTGGCCAGCTCTGCCAGGGCAACACTGCAGGGGATGGAGAGCAGAAGGTTAGGAAAGGAGAATATAGGCAAGGGGGGGTGATCTGGCTTTGCAGTTGAGCTCCCAGCTCTGGGGAGGTAACAGAACTGTATCCCTTTCAGTTACTGCAGAGAGAGCTAGCAAAGGGGCTGGGGGGGATGTTGGCCAACTGCCTGTTAGTTTTTGTGTGATTTGGCACACTTTCCACATGGAAGGGGTTCCTCCTTTGGCTCTTCCAAGCTAACTGTTAATATAGGCTGTTCAGAACGTTTCCTATGTGAAAGTATCCAAGGGCCACCACATTGCTGGGCCTTCTGGGAAACTTGAGCCAATCCTCTCCTTGATTTTCTTTCAAAATTGAGCCTAAGAAACAACCACAATGGACCTTCCCCCCAATAGTCAGGTGAACTGTCTCTAAAAATGTGTCCCAGAATTAACTCATAGCAAAGAGTTTATTGTTTGTCCTTGTTTTGTTCTGAAAATCTAAAATGTACTCAATACTAAATATAGGCTAGATGAAGCCTGAGCCTCTTACAAACATTTATTTTTCAGAAAAATCATACAAAGTAGATAGTATTATCCCAATAGGCAATAGTACCTCAATTTAATTATGAAGAGATTGGGACTCAGACAGATTAAATAATTTGACCCCGTCATAATCACACAGGTAGCAATTCACAGACATGAAATTCAGACCTGGGTATTCTGGAACAGCTTCCTATTCAAGATTTTTTGGGGACAGTTGGGCCAGAAAGATATTCTGAAGGTATCCAGAAAGGATTCACTTTCAAGTAAAGAAACAGTTACAGTATTTTCTGAAACGCCCCCCCCCCCACCCGATTTACCACTTGAGAAATCAACACCTCTCCATCATCAAAGTGTATGGAGCATTAAATCTGAATTGGATGATGGGATTACCTTGGTTTTAATCAAGCATTCATTTTCAACTTCGTTTTGTAGCATGAATATTAAGCTCCTTGGTGTGATGGAAAAGATTGGACTGTAACACTGATAAAAAATTAATTTGAAGAATCAATAAAGAGGCCAGTAGCTGGAGAGCAGGCAGGGGTGGGGTGGGGGAAATTCCTGGGAGGAATCTTTTAGTTAGGGAAGCAGGGAGATATGTGCTGTAGGAAGCAGACTTTTCATAATACTTGGAAACATTGTTGATTGGGGAGATATATTAGGGGACACAAAACAAAGAGAGGGTAGGGGGTGACTCTTTCACAAGAGAGTACGGAAGTTGGGATGAACTTTGGATAGTAGGAAAAGCCAACATTAGTACAATGAATTAGTGGCCATCGCAGCCTAATCATTAGCCATGAAGGGCTGGGGTAAGCACTCCCTCTGGTTTTCCTCTAGAAAAATAGCTGAGTGGGATGCCTGGGTGGCTCAGTTGGTTAAGTGTCCGACTTCAGCTCAGGTCATGATCTTGTGGTTTGCGACTTTGAGCCCCACGTTGGGCTCTGTGCTGACAGCACAGAGCCTGGAGCCTGCTTCGGATTCTGTGCCTCCCTTTCTCTCTGCCCCTCCCCACTCACATTGTCTCTGTCTCTCTCTCTCTCTCTCTCTCTCTCTCTCTCTCTCAAAAATAAACATTAAAAAATTTAAAGAAATAGATGAGTGACTTGTGTGTTAGCATAGAGCTGTCAACTTACCTTGTTAATTAATATTACTATCTTTTCTGTTTGACACGGACATATGAGCTTTGGCATCAGCAATCCCTGCCTCCCACCCTCTGCTGTTCAAGTAATTGGGTAGTTGGTTATGCTAAGGTTGTCACCTGTTTTCAATGTATTCAGGGTATAAACACATACTGTGTCTGTAAGATCCTGAAACATTTAAATCACTCCATGGAACTCACACATCGCAAATGAGCTCTCTGCATATGATTAATTTGCACATTTCCCCCCAATTCAATGTGTTTATTCCAGGCAAAGAAACAATCTTCTACAAATCCCTGAAATTTAGGCTTAGAACACGGTAAGATGTTATTTCATTTGTAAAAGAATGTTTGCTTGAACTCGTAGTTCAGAGTTCTAAATGTCCACCAGGAAAGAAGAGAATCTGGGAGGTGGTGAATTTAATAGAATAAATGATGGATCCTATGGAAGTCATTGTATATGTTTTAATAATATAAGAGAGTATGGAGAGATCATGGGCATATTTGTCTCTTAAAATATTGTTAAATGTAGCATTTTCATGCATTTCTTAATTCATTCACTCATTTTTCTGCCAAGAGTTACTGCGTTCTTACCATTTGCCAGCAGGCCCCTTGTGAGAGGCTGGGCATCTAAAGTTGAAGAGACAGAGTCTTGGCTATAAGGAGGTCACCGTTTAACAGGACATTTAACTGAAAAGACAATGAAAATAGAGCGGGTTTTGTTTTCTCAGCCTGGGCACTATCAACATTTCAGGACAGATGCTTCTTTGTTGTCTGGGGCTGTTCTGTGCACTGTAGGGTGTCGAGTAGCACCCCTGGCCTCTCCTTGCTAGATGTAAGCACACACACTACCCTACCCCACCTGTTGTGATGATTTAAAAATAGCTCTAGACATTGCCTCATATCCCCAGGATGAGGTCGAGCAAAATCACTCCCCAGTTGAGAACGAACTGTAATAAAGTGTGATAAAATCTATGAATATGGGTCATGAATGACTTCTTACAGGAGTAAAAGTTTACTTCTAGAAAAGTAGGAATTTACCTGATAGATAAGGAGAGGAAGGGCTGAGGGCTTGGATTATGGGAACAGGGCACATTTAAGAAACTTGGATAAGTCAGTCTTGAGAGTTTTGAGATGGATGCTGTGGGACCAGTTGCAACAGTGTTGTTAGAATCCTAGGGGGAAGTTACAAAGAACTGAAGAAGGCAGAAGAGGTGAAGGTGAAGGTTTCAAGAGATGTTTAGGAGGTAGAATCCTTCACGTATTGGATAGCTTGGGAAGCAATAAATACTTCTTGAGTATTGACTGTGTCAGACACAGTAAGCGGCAGAGGTGTAATGGTGCATAAGAGAGAATCTGCCCTCAGGATATTCAGACAGTCTCTGTGTGGCTAACGGAAGAATCAGTGCAAAATAAAAATGAAACATGTCAGTGGCTTGGTGGACTGGGAGGAAAATCCAATCTGTTCATCGCAATGCCGTTGATCAAGTGGGCACCCATTTATTGCAGAACCTGGCACGGTTTCTGAGCTATTCCCTCTTAACCAAATAAACTCCTCATAAAGCAGTGTGACAGCAGCATTAGAAGGCATTTTAAATATCCCCTATTTTAATAAAACTATTTTTATGTCTGATTATTTTTTATATTTTTTGTCCACATGTATATACATATGGATATATAACATTCGACACAGTTGCAATCATAGAGTGATCTGATTTGCTAATTTAATGTCACATCATAAACATTTTACATGCTGTTATATAATATACATAATCATTTTTAATGACTACATAACATCTCATCCTATTGATGGACCATTATTTCCTTAATAAAATCTCACAGTTGGATTTGGTGTTTTGTGTGTATGTTTCCCTGATTAGATATAACCCTTTATTATTTCTGACAAACACCAGGCATTTTTGAATGTTGTTTGTTTGGGTTTTCTGTTGAATTAATCCCTCAGGGAGAATTCTCAGAGGTTGGATTAGTAAACTGAGGGGTATTAAGATTTTTATGGTTTATGTAGTGTGTTGCCTCATTTAGCTTTATTTCAACTACTCATTGCATGGGTATAAATGTTCACAGGGGAAACTACCTTAAATCTTTTTTGGAAGGAGTCAAGGTATAAATTGTAGGTAAATGCTTAAAGGTTATTCATCCATCGGACCTGCTCCCCATTCTGACAAAACAACTGGTGTAGATGATCACTTGTCCCTGGGAGTGGGGAATCAAAAGTCAACAAGACTCAGCAGAGTCCTTTGGAGTGCTCCCCACTTAGCAGGGGCGAGAGATGAGGGACTTCAGAAAGGCAGCTGAGAAAAGCTGAGGATTTCCCAAGGCAATGAGGATTGCCAGAAGACTTGGTCAAATCTCACCCAACTAGGAAAGGGCATTCCAGACAAATGTTGGCAAGGATTTGGGGGAGTTTTGCTTGGAATCTGAAAAGATCAGTCAGACTGCAGTGTGACTCTATTAGCCTCAACATCATCAGTGCTTTCCACTGGGAACATGGCTCAGGGCTCTGGGTCCCTACCCATATGCCTAAATCAAGTTCAAAAAAGGTCTGCTCTAAGAGCATCAAGAAGCTACCCGACATTAGAAAATTTCCCCTTACCTGGCCTCAGAACTATCATATTCTAGTTTTGTTGTTGTTGTTGTTGTTTTTGTCTAAAAATTGCAGAGATGTTTGAGAAATTGCAGCAATCTCATATCTGGAGCCCATAAAGAACATCCCTTTCTGCTGCTCAGTAACCCAAAGAAGGGTTACAGGGGAGCTGCTGAGTCCCAGAATGGTGCATCAGCTGTATGTGATTCTACTTCAGGAAAAAGAGTGTTCCCTGAGCCGGGTGGGCAGATGATGGGAAAACTTTGAATGTGTTTCTCCTTCCTGAAAGTGAAATCATCCTTAGTTTTGAACTTTGTAGAATTAGGTCAGGACTAAACCCTGTGACTATGTGCCCATTCACAATAAGTGTTTGCCAGGCAGTTGACAACAGCATGGCAGGCAGATGCTAACCTTAAAAGACCCAACCTTTTCCAAACATTTGGTCGTTCAGCATCATCTGGAGTGCTAATTAGAAAGTTCTATTTCTGAGGCATCAGAACTTGTTGCTGGACCACTATTTTACTTTTCACCTTTTGCTGACTGATTCACTGTGTCTCATCTCATTCAGACCCTGGGAGTGTTTACCGTCAATTTCTCCAGAACTGCAGTCGTTCAAATACTACTTCTTAATTTTTTTTTTGAATCTGTGTAAAATCTATACTGTTGATAATTTTTGCCTTTGAGGGGGCTCCTTTTAAACATATATGCATTTTTTTAACAAGGAAGTGTTATTCTCATTGGCCTATATGACTTGCCACAAATGGAAGATAACCTAGAAATGAACGCAAGGAAAACAAAACGATGCTGTTGCATTCTAGCTCAACAGTTGAATCAGTGCCTCTCAAAAGGAGATTAGGAAGCATATCATATATGTTAAAAAGCATATACTGAGGTATACTGATGTATCCCTGATGTTTTTAGTAATGGAAGAATTAGAAAAGGAATAATAGTATCAATAAGTAACTTAATAAGTAAGTTAATGTCATTCAACAAATCCATCCACCGAAATTACTCATAAACCACTTGAAGTCATTTTAAGGACCAGTGTTGGTAAGGATCACAGACTTTGGAAAACGGTCAGAAAATTAAAAATTAAGCTATCAATATGATTAACCCAGCTCTGTGTGTGTGTGTGTGTGTGTGTGTGTGTGCGCGCGCGTGTGCGTTTAGAGGACAACAGCCATCTAACAAGACGTACTTTTGCTGAAATTCAGTGGGTATTTTTATTATGAATATTCTTACAACTTTACAGAATGGGCTACAATATTTGCTTTTGTAGTGTTTTAATTTCTTTCCTTAGATGATTTTGGTGAATGATTTGGACAGCCTTATTGTTGTTATGTAGAATGAAGTTCATTTTCTATGATGTGGTCCTTCTGTGTCTATTGTGCTCCTGGAATTACCCATTAAGCACATTCCAGATTTCAGCAGTTGATTTGTCTGATTTTCTGACCAAATGGCTCAGGTAATTGGATATTGAATAGACACTGATTTTTCTCCCTTTGAGGAACTATTCACTCTGCTCTGTAAAACAATCTGGTCTTTTTCCTCCATGATTCTTTCAAGGAACCGGTTGCCAATCATGTCTTCTTTCTTGCCAGCCTGTAGATTTTGAAACCAAAAGAGCATACAGCTTGAAGGTAGAGGCAGCCAATGTGCACATCGACCCAAAGTTCATCAGCAACGGGCCTTTCAAGGACACTGTGACGGTCAAGATTGCAGTGGAAGATGCTGATGAGCCCCCCATGTTCTTGGCCCCAAGTTATATCCATGAAGTCCAAGAAAATGCAGCGGCTGGCACTGTGGTTGGGAGAGTGCACGCCAAAGACCCCGATGCTGCCAACAGCCCGATAAGGTACAGACATTTATTTAAGAGCCCGGGATGAGGAATTTTAGAGGAAAGACGTTTCAGGAAAGTCCTGAGGGAAGCACATCCTTCAGTTTCAAAAAGGATCCAAGATGATCAGGTTCAATGCAGTGTAAACAAGACTACGATTTGGAAGGTGTGAATTCTACTTCCCCTCTGCTACTTTTTGGATGAGTTTGTTCAAACTACATAATTTCTGTCTGCAGCAGACTTCCCAGTGTACACGGTGGTGCAACGCATAGCAAGGCTTGTCTCGGGGAACCGTAGCGAAGTATGGATAAGGACTGTGAACTAATTATAGTCATTACAATTTATGGAACACCTTTCCATGCTCCAGTTACTCCATTAGGTATGTTAGGCAGATACTCTAATGTATCCTCTCAATTTTATTCTATAGGAATTTTCACTTAAATTGAGGGGACATGGTCAAGGCAAAGTGACTTGCCCAGAGCGACACAGCCAGTGAACAGGAGGCCAGGAGAGCAAGCTCTGTCTAATGGCTACAGGGCACTTGGAAGAGATAACAGAGGGCCACACAAATTTGGGGTGCTTTTCTTATTATGATATTTTTGTGACTTAGAAAAACTAGCTAGAAAAATGATTCAGAAGCCTGCCTTCCCCTTTCCTCAACCTGTGTTAGTGAACAGTGAGGCTGATGAAGATGATGAAGGACATGCGGAGGTGAGGAAAATTGTCAGAGAAGAAGGCTTGTCACAGACCCAAGCTATGTACGGGGCAGAAGGGCACGGCTGCCTGAAACCTACCTAGGTGTTGGATCCTAGCAGGTGTTTATTCATCCATGGCCCCTCTGTTACTTCCTGTATTACCTGGACTTCTTCCCTGCTTCAGCCTGGTCTCCCTGCCTCCAGTTTCTCACCCACCCTTCTTTTGTTCTCTAGCCAGATTGAGCATTTTATTTTTTATTTTTTATTTTTTTAACGTTTATTTATTTTTTTGGGACAGAGAGAGACAGAGCATGAACGGGGGAGGGGCAGAGAGAGAGGGAGACACAGAATCAGAAACAGGCTCCAGGCTCTGAGGCATCAGCCCAGAGCCCGACGCGGGGCTCGAACTCACGGACCGCGAGATCGTGACCTGGCTGAAGTCGGACGCTTAACCGACTGCGCCACCCAGGCGCCCCATTGAGCATTTAAAAAAAATATGTTATTTTCAGTTTTGAGAGAAAGAGAGGGCATGCGCATGAGTGAGGGAAGGGCACAGAGAAGGGGACAGAGGATCCGAAGTGGGCTCCCTGCGGTCAGCAGCGAGCCCATTGTGGGACTTGAACTCATGAACTGCGAGATCTTGGCCTCAGCCAAAGTCAGATGCTTACCCAAGTGAGCCACCAGGCGCCCGCAGATTGAGCATCTATAACAGCACATCTAAATATCACATCATACTCCACACTTGGTTATCAGTGATCCAATTGTTTCCCCCTTGCTGCTCCCATGAGAATAATCCCAACTCTCTTATTTAGTGGCAGGCTCTTCTTTGCACCCATGCACCCCGGTGGCTGCCGTGTCCTATTCATCTCTTTCATTTTCCATCTATTCCCTCTTGGCATAAGACTCTCCCCATTCCTGAGGCAGAACTTGCTCCTTACATGTTCCTGCTTCCCACCTGTACATGTTCTCCCTCCAGGTGGGAGCTCTGCCCCTCCTTCTTTCAAACTTGCTACACGGTACTCATTTTTCCCACTTCCACTTCAGTGTCACCTGTTCTAGAAATTCTTCTGGGACACCCGGCTCATGGATCAGATGCAGTTTCCACCTCACAGTGCTCACTGTGCAAAATCACAGCGACACCTTATGCCGTGTGCTGTCCTTGGCACACTCGAAGGGGGACTGCCTGCCTGGTTCTGGGGTTGGTAAACTGTAGCCCTTAGAAAAGATCCAGCTGCCATCTGCATTTTGCAGAGCCTCTATACTGTTTTCCATAATGGCTCTGTCTTGAAGAGATATTTTCACTCCCATGTTCACTGCTGCATTATTCACAATAACCCAGACATGGAAACAACCGCAGTATTTGTCAATGCATGAATGAATAAAGAAAATTAGACTTAAAAAGAAAAGGGAATCCCATCATTTGTGATAATTTGGAGGACTTTGGAGGACATTATGCTAAAAGACATAAGTCAGACATAGAAAGTCAAACATCGCATGACATTACTTGTAAGTGGAATCTAAAAAAGTCAGACTTTGAGAAACAGAGTGTAGAATGGTGGTTTCTAAAGACTGGGGATGGGAAAATGGGGAAATATTGGCCATACGGTACAACTCACAGTTATAAAATAAATAAGCTCCAGACATCTAATGTACAGCCTGGTGATTATAGTTAATAACATATACTTGAAGTTTTCTAAGAGTCCATTTTAAGTGTTCTCATCACACACAACACAAAATGGTAACCATGAGAGGTGATGAATATGTTAATTACCTTGACGATGGTAATCATTACACAAGGTACACTTATATCAAAATGCCACATTGCCTACATTACATATTATTTGTCAATCAAATCTCAGTAGAGGGAAAATAGGAAACAAATATGAACATGAAAACAATTACCACGGACAATGGAGTTTTTCTATTGACACCAAAGAAAATGCTGAAAGGGCAGGAGGAAATCCCAAATGAAAATGTTAGTTGCCTTTAAATCCTTGAATATCCCTTTTAGGAGAAAGGAAGAGAATTATCCTTTAATGAACATCTTCTCAGCCCCAGACAATGTGTTGCACTAAGTTATTTAAACTAATCCTCAGACATCCTTTGAAGCCCTGACTACTTTAGGATGCAACAGATGGAAGTACTGAGGCTCAAAGGGATGATGTGAGTTCTTCGGTGCCACAGCCAGTGGGTACTGGAGGCTGGATTTTAGTTCAGATCTGCCTTCGGTCCATTTTGAGCTTCTTACTCTAGCCAAACAGCCACCAATGGGAAGACTTCCCAAGAAGGTTTGAGTGTGGTATTTTCTCTATGCAGAAAGATCCATTATGTCATGACTGAGGGTCAGTGTAACAACACTTTGAAACTACTCAAAAATGTCTGCGGTGTGGGTTTTAAATGAGTTAGGCTTGGCTAGGCGCATTAGCAACGTTTTGGAAGAGCAATGACGTAAAAACGCTTGGAACAATTGCTCATTTCCTCTGTGCCTCATGTCTCCAGGATCCACATCTGCGATTGGTTATTTGGGTCATGTTTTCAATGGTGGCTGTTCTGTGCAAGTAGGCAATTTCCGTATCTATAATTATCCAAAGATGCTCAGTACGGCCCTTGAACCAACCCCCCACCTTACCCGCTCAGTCCCTGTTCCTCAAAGAATTTATAGAACATTCAAAGCTTTTTATGCACTATGCGCACTATTTTCCTGATTGTTTATCTTCACCTGTATGGGAACTTGTGTCCTTGGACTTGTGGGTAGGACACTATAGTGTCCAACAGACTCTTAGCTGCATGGAAATTTTGCAGATCTGGCTTTGCAGACTCTGTAGCATTAGATAACTTTTCCTCACTGCTGCCTTTTTGAGACAGTCTCTCTTCTCACCTTTCTTGGCAGTAGTCTGTTCCTGCCTCCGATAGCACCACCCTGGGGTCTTCACTGATGTTTGATCCCTGTCCAGGTAGTGGGAGCTCCCTGAGATGCATGCTTTTGACCTGGATCTTTCTCTCTCTGTCCTCTCATCAAGAGCATTCCTGCCCAGGCATGGCTGAATTGAGTTAAGGCTCCAGATTCTCTGCCTTAGGGCTGATCTTTCTCCCTGATTCTGCTCTGCACCTATTCTTCTCTCTGCTGTGACTTTTCACACACTTGCCTTTTCCTTCCCTGGCGCTCTCATTTATTTAAACTTATTTTTGAGCTCATACTTATTGTGACATACTTAAAGTCTGACACCACCTTGATTCTGTGAAACTGGAGGGAGAGCTGACTTGTTACTCTCCTAACATGGCAGCATATCTCTGGTGGAATTCTAATCTCTCTCCTTTCTGCTAAGGTGACTTTTTGTGTTTCTCAATGTCTCCCTCTCTCCGACATGACATTCAAGCTAGAAACTCTCTGGGAGACTCCCAGCCTTCCAAGTATCAGCTGAGTCCTAATGGTGCTATCTTCATCACACAATCTTGTGTTCCCTCTCACTCCTATACCAGTGCCTGTGTCCCCAACACCTCATTCAGATGCTAAGTCTCTCTGCACTTCCTCCATTCTCTCTTGCTCAGACCATCTTGCCCACCCTACCTTATTAATCACCCTGACAGCCTGATTCCATGTATTGTTCCTCTGATCAAAAGCCCTCTATGATTCTTCACTGGCTATAGGATAAAGGTCATATTCTGTAGACTGACATTGAAGAACTTCCATGATCTGTCCACAGTGTGTGACAGCAACAACAAAAGAAGAGCAGGGGCGCCTGGGTGGTTCAGTCGGTTAAACTTCCAACTTGGTTTGAGCTCGGGTCACGATCTCGCAGTTTGTGAGTTTGATCCCCTCATTGGGCTCTGCGCTGACAGCACAGAGCCTGCTTGGGACTCTCTCTCTCCTTCTCTCTCTGCCCCTCCCCCACTAGTTCCTCTCTCTCTCTCTCTCAAAGAAACTTAAAAAAAAAAAAAAAGAAAAGCAACTATTATTTGTTGTACTGCTTACAGTATGCAAGGCACTAGGTTATATATCTTAACATCTATAATTTCATGGAATTCTTACAGACAAGCTAAAACTTAGGTACTGTTAATAATCCAGTTTAAAAGATAAGTAAGCTAAGATTCATAGAACCTAAGGACTTTTCCAATATCACCAAGCTTAGATGTACTGAAGCATGAACTTGAATCTAGGACTTTATAAAACCAAAATTCATGCCCTTCGCTTCTAGAGAATAATGCTTTGAATTGTTAATTATCTTTCTCCCAGTTACTGTGTCTTGTCATGTCCACTAGATAGTAAAGTCCCTGGTGGCAGGGGAAAAAATCTATTATTTTTGCCTCCTTTTCACAGAAGGCTACCCGCTGAAGGCTCTGTTACTGAGCCTCTCCTGACATTTGCGAGGCATGTGTACCTGGTTTCTCTTCAGCTTCCTCCCTGGGGAAGGGGACTCATCATTCCATTGCCATACGGAGCTTCACAGTCTAATGACATCACAGATGAACTCGTGTCTTTTATACCGTGAAGTGCTGCTCCATGAGTGGAACCCTCTTTCTTGGAAGCAACATGATCTAGAATTGGAAGATTTGAGTTCTCATGTTGGCTCCCCCAGAAACGAGATAATAGGCCATTTGGAAATCCCATCATTTGTAAATGGAAGAGATTAAACTCTGACATCCATGGTCTTTGCCACCTTTAATATATCTTGACTTTTATGACCTTCGATGAATACCTTCAGACATATATATTCTGTAAACTTGAGGAAACTGCAGCTAAGCCCTCTAACAGCAGGAAGCCACCCAATGATGAACCCAGTAATATACCCGACTTAATATAACCACCTTTGCTCCTCATTTTGGAGACAGTGTGGTGGAGTGAAAAGGAAAGGGGCTTTGGTGTTGAACAGACATATTAAAGCCAGCACTTTGGTATTTACAACTCTGGGTATCCCGGACAAGCTATTTTACCTCACTACACCTCAATAAAGGTCATTCTTCTTGCTCCGTCTCCCTCCTCACTGGGCCATAAACATGGTCCAGTAATATTCTGGAAATTATTTTCTCTTTTCTTACAAAAACAAACAAGCTTTCTAAGTGGACAGGAGTAGTTAAAAACCTTCCGGCTAGGCTATTAGGCACAGCCCGTCATAAAAGTATGAGGAGAACACTCTACAGATGAATGACCAAGACTGCTTTGCATATTTCATCATGGAATTCAGACCCAGGCTACCTGAGACCCCTAAAACCAAATAAATAAACTAAATAAATTCACTCAAACTAGAGTTAGCATTTTTCTTTAAATAAGGAGAAAACTGGGGCGCCTGGGTGGCGCACTCGGTTAAGCGTCCGACTTCAGCCAGGTCATGATCTCGCGGTCCGTGAGTTCGAGCCCCGCGTCGGGCTCTGGGCTGATGGCTCAGAGCCTGGAGCCTGTTTCCGATTCTGTGTCTCCCTCTCTCTCTGCCCCTCCCCCGTTCATGCTCTGTCTCTCTCTGTCCCCCCCAAAAAATAAATAAACGTTGAAAAAAAAAATAAGGAGAAAACTGATTTTTTAGTACCATAAATGCTCCTTTATGATAAATTCAGGTAAACTTGAAACTATTTAATATTTTGTATGCAAAAATCTGGCAACAGTTTGATGCATTTATGACTTTCTGAGTAGTTTGGGCAATCCCACTTCCCAAATGCAGTTTCATAAATATTCAGAGGGTGGAGGATTGTAGTAAATACGAAGAAATATGCAACATGTCATTACATTTCTCAATCAAATATGCTAAACAGCTCTTTCATTCATTGTACTGAATAAAGAAGCCCAATGCAGCAGAATGATTTCTATAAAAGATTCATGTATGAAGTTTAAAAAGTAAATTTGATTAAAAAGGAAACCTAGTTGAAGCAATCCATTGAAAAAGTTATTTTAAATATAGCATGGAGAAAATATTCAAATATTAAGCTGCTCAGAATGTCTCCGTCTAATTGCCTTATTTGCATTCCGCTTAGGTATTCCATCGATCGTCATACTGACCTCGACAGGTTTTTCACTATTAATCCAGAGGATGGTTTTATTAAAACCACAAAACCTTTGGACAGAGAGGAAACTGCCTGGCTCAACATATCTGTTTTTGCAGCAGAAATCCGTAAGTATTCTCCTAAGGGTTTTGATTCTACTTTACCAAGTTTTATTCCATCAGACTCTATATATATTCTGGAAAATGACAGACAGCTGAGATAGAATACATTTTTTAGTCTTAAGCATATTTTTCAGTGTTTAAAATTTATTCTTGGTCATGTATCGAAGAGGACATATAAACACGTAGAGATATTTTCATTTTCTCTGGCAGAACTGGGTATAGATTTGGCAAGTGAGATCTTGACACTATAGCCATCACTGGGGGACTCCCACTTTAGGCTGCCACTCAGTATTGTTTAAATCCTTAGAGCCTAGATTTGTGGATGCTTGTGTACCTATAGACCAGTGGTTCTCAAACTTGATCACACATTGGAATATCCTGGAGGGCTTGTATTTACTGTCTGAACTCTCTTCTTTCAGACAACCGGCATCAGGAAGCCAAAGTGCCAGTGGCCATTAGGGTCCTTGATGTCAACGATAATGCCCCCAAGTTTGCCGCCCCTTATGAAGGCTTCATCTGTGAGAGTGATCAGACCAAGCCACTTTCTAACCAGGTAATGATGCCTTCCCTTTTTCTGGCTTTGTACAAGCAATTTGGAAACAGAGTTTGATCTTGAGAGCTTCACCTGGAGATACCCGCCGCTGCCCAAGAGGTCTTCAGAGCCCTAGTTTAAGCTCTGTAGCTGTGCTCTTGTTAAACCCAGGCTTCTCAGCCAGCTCGGAATTTTTGAATAAATGATGTGCCAATGTCAGCATGATTTATTTATGGGCCACCTTTCTCTTTCAGCCAATTGTTACAATTAGTGCAGATGACAAGGATGACACAGCCAATGGACCAAGATTTATCTTCAGTCTACCCCCTGAAATCATTCACAATCCAAATTTCACAGTCAGAGACAACAGAGGTTTGTACCAAAGTTCCTATGCATTCAGAGAAATAGAAATGGAGAATGAATGGCTTTTATATTGCAGAACACAAGTGTTTTCCCTAATCTTAATAATGCCTGTCTGTTGAAGAACAAACAAGAAGTAATAATGCCACCTTTATTTTGAGACGTGTGGGCTCATTTGGTGCATATGAATAAGTGAGTGTAATTTTATTTTACTTTTTTATTGGCTTTGATATCAAGAAGCAGTGGGGAAACCAAGTGGGGAAGCTTACAGGGTCAATATGCAAACAACCTCATTTATCTTTTTTAAGAGGTTGATAAACCCTTGGGGGGAGCATGGCTTAATGAATATTGATATCAAATAAAGCATTATAAGAGATTAGTTCAACTTTGTAAGGCAATGTAATCTTTCAGCTGGCCTTCCCTCCCAAGCATGGTTTTAATGCAGTATGGTTGGGTTCATAGCTTGTTACCTAAAGATGGTTGCAGAATTATTGCCTGAAGGGCATGAACAGAGCATTGTTTGGCCACGGTAGACATGGTGAAATTCAATATCATGCCTGCTTCTCATTTCATCAAAGAGGTTCTAGACTTACAAATTATTTGAAGTAGCTGTTCTTCCATATAGGCCCAAACTGATACAGTCCCTTGATAAAGTTGGTACCAAGCCAGGATCAGAAAATAAGTTTCTTGACTTCTGGGCAGGCTATGGTGGTCTACAGCTGTCCCTAGAAACCCGTGACAATGCAGTTTGTAGAAGCAGGAAGACAAATGCCATCGTTCGACATAGGACTAGAAGGTAGTCCTCCTGAGCATACATGCTTTCATTAGCCACACAGTACTAGGTTATAGATTGACTGCTTTCCCAGTGACTGAGATCAGGCGTATAGGAGCTTACATTAACCTAATAAGTATTTTTGCTTTCCCCATCTCTGTTATCACTCATCAGAATCATAAACACCAAACTATGTTTGGTAGCTGTGTTCCAAACCACATGCCAAGACCCTTCCCACACTCCATCCGTTTCTTTCCCTCAACACACCATAGGTAAATGTCATTATTATCATTCCCATTTGAAGATGAAAAAAATGAGGCACATAACCATCAAGTAACTTGTTCAAAGTCAATGTGCCACATAGGAGTTAGACCTAGGTTTTAAACCCAGGTTTTCAGAGGCAAGACGTTACAACCCTAAGCACTGTCCCTACTGGGTTGATTATTAGAGGAAAGAAGTTCCCCATCCTGCTTGGAGTTGAGGGGATATGATCTAGCATACTGCATTTTTATTTCTGGAACTGATTTGAGCATTTAATTATGGCCTTGTAAAATCAAGCACATATCAAAAGGGACTGTGGGATAAAATGTCCTAGGTGCTGACAGATTTTCTCTCCTGATGCTTTGCTTTCTGCAGTGGACATGCTCTTGAGAGCCTGGGTGTGAAGAAAGTTAATACGACAGACCTGTGTTTTAAAGGAACCCTATGAAACAAACTGTCACTAAATGATTCCTATAATTTCAAAATAGAAATGGTACTTGGAATGCTTTAATTTTATATTTCATCTAAGAGTTTTCTTTTACTTGTTAGCTTTGGTTTATGGGCACATGTGAGTGCCTTAAGCCCCTTTGAGAGTTAAGTCTGCAGGCCACTGAGATAGAGGAGTAGTTCTTGACTGGGAGCTCACGTACCTCCAGGGGTACATGTGTATAATCTAAGAATTTCCTTTTGTAAATATGCATTCCTCCAAAGAAGGAAGACCTCACATGTAGTGGGCATTCAAGAAATGCTTACTCAGCTGAACTGAACAAGGTAGCACACATAGTGTTCCCATAACACTTTCTAAGATATGGGTATACTTCGTTTGAGTTTATGGGAATCCCTGCTTCCACTCTTGGATTTCTCCTAATTCCCAAACTATTTTGTGATAGGTTGATTGCCACATTGCCACGAGCCTAGGCTTTTGCCAGTGTTGTGGTGAAGGAGATACTTATAAAACATTTCAGCGTACATTTAGTTTTATGAAAAGTGAGGTGATCGACTCAGTTGTTTGGAAAACTCCACTGTTCTAACATGTGTCTTATGCCATCCCCCTCTTATGATCTGTTTACTGAAATATTTGTGGGCATACTTTTATCTGTGTTTTCTTATAATCCCCAACTAACATTTGAAGCCTAACTCCTGGATGGATGCCCAGCAACATCTCTATATGGTTGGACACCTCCTGACCCAGCAGGTGTTTCTAGGCTTTTCTCACTGTGCCAACGTCACCTCCATCACCTGCCTTGTCTTCTTTCTCTTTTATGTGTGCGGTAATATTTAGTTGCTGTTAACCCTCTGAAAACATGATACCAAGATGGAGTGTTCTCTAGGGAGTTGTAAGTATTTTACTTTGTCACAGTACTTCAGGAATGCCATCGGTATTTTCAAAAAGATGAGCCAGCCCAGTACACAGTCTGTTTCCTCTGCCCTTTCCTATAAAAAAACTAATACTATGCAGAGCTACCACTTTTGAGCGAATTGCTACTTTTTAAGAAAAATGACTTTATTAACTATGGCAAACACTTAATGAAAACTCCTATGTTTAGAGGTATTACAAAACCTTAAAGCAAATACAGTCCTATAATTATCATTTAATAGAGTCTCTTTGCTAGCTCCTAAAAGTAATTACATATTGAAGTAATCCAAAAGGAGTAATCACATTCCACATCCTATTAATAGCCTACTGAGTTACCAAATTTCTCGGCTGAAACTGTTTTCCATAGAAAACATGAGATAATGGTTTAGATCACGCTGAGTAAAAGCATCAGGTTTCTTTCTCCTTGAGTGTTTGCTTCCATTATGCCATGTAAATAATCAGGATTGTGTTTGCCTAAACTGGCATAAGCATTACACATCTTTAGAAATAGGAGAAGAGAAGCCATCTTAATACACCCAAGCCTTTTATTTCATTTTCCCTTACTCCAGTCTGTAGCCAAGCTTCACAGGTGACTCAGTAGGCAGCCGGAGAGTACAACACTGGATGACTCTTCAACACTTAGGTCCATCTTGGGCTGTTAATTTCAATAACGGTGCTGTTTGGCCAGATGGAGGCTGATCTGCCCACAGTTTTGAGATGCATTTGCTTTGAAAATATCAGACTTATGGCTTCTCTTAAAACACAAGAAATGTGTAATGAATGAGAATAGTGCAAAGAAAAAAATACTGAGAATAACCCTTCCCATCTATCTAGCTCTTCGTTAATTTATACAACGTTGTCATGGCCATTATTAAACTTAATTCCTCAAACAGCCCCACAAGGTTACTCAAGAGTATTTTTATCCCCAGTTTCTAGATAAGGAAGGAGAATGAGACATGAGGAGCTTCAGATATTTTCCCAAGGCACATTAGTGCAACAGCGAACAAGTTTGGGTATTTGAAGGGCTCCATCAAGTGTACACACTATACTATGAGTAGAAAGCTTGTCTTTTCTAGTTAATTCTTTTAAAAAAAATCTTTGTTTACCCTATAGTCAAATAATCACAGTCTTCAGAAGAGGAAAAATCTGGAATTCAATTGATCAATCTAAAGTTCCAGGGGAAATTGTGAATAGGGGAAAAACTGTACTTCATGTTCAATTTAAATTATAGCCATAATAATTTCTAGTAAAATATATTTGCAAGAATTTTATAATTTCCTTCTACTATATAATTAACACATGTTCTTTGCAAGAAAGTTAGAAAATACAAACAAGCAGGAATATTACTATAAATAATAAAATAACTTGATACTATATTATATAGAAATAATCACTGCTATTTTTTTTAATTTTTTTTTCAACGTTTATTTATTTTTGGGACAGAGAGACAGAGCATGAACGGGGGAGGGGCAGAGAGAGAGGGAGACACAGAATCGGAAACAGGCTCCAGGCTCCGAGCCATCAGCCCAGAGCCCGACGCGGGGCTCGAACTCCCGGACCGCGAGATCGTGACCTGGCTGAAGTCGGACGCTTAACCGACTGCGCCACCCAGGCGCCCCAATCACTGCTATTTTTTTCATGTGTCCAGACTTTTTCTTGGGATTATATAATATATATATATATATATATATATATATATATATATACACACATATATAATTTATATGAATATAAATTATATATAAATATGTTATATGTATATAACATATATAATATATATAAATATACTATATATATATGGTATAATACATATGTGGTACACACACACACACACACACACACACATACACACATACAATCAGCATCAATACGCTTATGTCAACATTTTCTTCTAAATGTCTCCCTAACTTCCACTATAAAGATGTCTGATCTCAGTTAACCATTGTGTAAGTACATTGTTTTCACACACCTTTGCCAAATATCTAATTACTATTTTAGGATAAATTTCTAGAGTGGAATTATTGGGTCAAAAGCTTTTGGTATTTAATTGACAAACTACTCATCAGACATATGTATACTAACAGAAATACTTATAATACCATTAGCAAGATAGGTATTCCACACATGTAAGCCAACTCTAGGTTTTATTACTTTTTCAAATCATTGGCAATTTGATAAGTGAAATACAATCATATTTTAAAATTTCAATGCCTTTGATTACTAGTAAACCTAGGATTTTTTAAATAAGCATTGATCATTTATTTCCTTTTTCTTTTTAAATGTGCTTTTCCCATTAAAAAAAAAATTAATGTTTATTTATTTTTTAGAGAGAGAGAGAGAGAGAGAGCATGAGCAGGGCAGGGGCAGAGAGAGAGGCACACACACAGAATCCAAAGCAGGCTCCAGGCTCTGAACTGTCAGCACAGAGCCGGACGCAGGGCTCAAACTCACTGGCTGTGAGATCATGACTTGAGCCAAAGTCGGACGTTTAACCAACTGAGTCATCCAGGCACCCCATGTCCATTTTTGTGAATTATATATTCACCTATTTACGGTTGATATGTAAAGTGTCTTCATCTTTTAATGTTAATGACCTTGGACCTAGCATACCTACTACATAGA